TATATGTATATGTATATAATTATATACGACCTTCAATTGACGTGGTCGCCCACCAAGAGTAATCATTTCCCAGAGGACTTTTTTTTATTTTCACTTGTCTTAGAAGACAAAATGAAGTTGGCCAACTTCCCAGAACGTATAAAATTCTTCTGGATGAACACAAGAAGTCAAAACCTAAAGAAAATTAAAGTTGGATATGTAGGTGGAGCAGCCATGATAAGTGTAGTTGTTTATTAAAAGTGATATTTGCTTTCACAAATCTTAGAAAAGTAGCTGCAAATTTCTCATTACCGTTCGCAGAAAACATGTATATATATATATATGTGTATGCATACAATATATAATATATAATATAATATATATATATATATGTATACATAAGCAAAAAGCAGCAGCAAATCCGAGTAGTGGAAAACAACTCAAACCCCACCACACTTGCCATTATAATTTTTTTCCACTCAGGTTCATTTTATGCGGTCTGCGTAAACCCTCTCAAACCCAACCCACTTTATTTCCATACTTGAATAAGTTTGGCCTTCGTACGTAAGTTATACAAATTCAATTTTCAGTCCCCAAAATGCCTGTACTAGCTACTTGTTTTTAGAAGTTCATATATGTATATATGTGCGTGGATGTATATATATATATATGTATATATGTATATGTATGTATCAATACCTTTGATTTATTAATAAATTAATGGAGGATAATGTTTAGAACACATTGATTACTTTTGTGAAACTAATTTAAAATTTTCATGTTTATTAATTCAATTACATCAAGATAATATTAAACTGGTATATGTATGTGTGTATATATATTACAAATTTAGGATGTCTTGTTTTATTTTCTATCAATTTTTACTTCTATGACAGTGAGATAGTGTAATTCATTCCTTATTTCACCATTTTATATAAGAAGGATTTGGTTTTTGAGTCTGTTCCGCAGGAAGACGGCGAGTAGATGACTAAAGATTTTATGGTTTTCCTTATAGTATTCATTTCTACTATTTACTTTAGTTAGTTTATTATTTCATACGTTTGATACGTTTTGATTATTGTGTAAGGGATGTTAAACATAATATTTTATTTCGCTTCCACACTTAAAATTTTTATATATACGTTTTCTTTTAATTTCTAGCACCGTTACAAATGTTTAGAACACATTGACAACTTTTGTGAAACTAATTTAAAATTTTCATGTTTATTAATTCAATTAGATCAAGATACTATCAAACTGAGAAAACATATATATATATATGTATGTATATTATAAATTTAGGATGTCTTGTTTTGGTTCCACTTAAAATTTTCCTAATTAAACACCAAATTTTATTATTTTGTACAGAATTTTAAAACTTATGATTAAATTAAGATTATACGTAACATAAATACATTTATTTATAAAATTCATTTAGAAGTTTAACATTTCTTTTATCTAAGATCAGTCAATATTTTATGACCCTTTTAAGAAAATGTTAAATTATGATTAGTCAATTTTTATACTTTAGTTAAAACTATGTATATGAAAAATATATACATATATAACGATAATTATCACTCAAAAATTATTTTATACTCAAAACAATTTATATACAACGTAATTATGAACCAATACATATATTTTCTTTCAATTAAATAGAGTAAAAATTATGTAGTTTAAAGATCGTTTATGTCTTTTTGAATACATCCGATAAAACTAAAATAATACAAAGAAGATTAGCACGGTATCTGTGCAAACATGACATGCACAAAGATCATTTACGGATTAAAATTTATGAAAAACTACGATTCGATATTGTATAACAAACAAAAATTTTTTAAGATATGAAATCGGAGCATAGTTTAAGAACGTATAATTTTCTTAACGATGTTCGTCAATTTTTTCACTAATCGAAAGACCCTAATTTTACATATATATATATACAAACATGTACATTTAAAATATATACATATATAACGATAATTATCACTCAAAAATTATTTTATACTCAAAACAATTTATATACGACATAATTATGAATCAACATATATATTTTCTTTCAATCAAATAGAGTAAAAATTATATAGTTTAAAGATTGTTTATTAGTTTAAACTAAAATAATACAAAGAAGATTAGCACGGTATATGTGCAAATATGACATGTACAAAAATCATTAACGGATTAAAATTTATGAAAAACTACGATTTGATATTGTATAACAAACAAAAACTTTTTAAGATATGAAATCGGAGCATAGTTTAAGAACATATAATTTTTTTAACGATGTTCGTCGATTTTCTCACTAATCGAAAGATCCTAATTTTATTGAAATCGAAGCATACGGTAATCAAATTGTGAGATAGTCAAAGATCACTTCCATGATTTAACTTAACCATGTGATTTACTCATTAACCCTCTTAATTAATTAATTAATTAATTTAATATAGCTATAGAGGTAGGTAATTACTTTTTTTCCCATTGAACTCTATATGATTACTTCTACTATTTCATCTTAATCAATTATGAGCCGGTCACTAACAATTGCATACGTATAATATATATATATATATATATATATATATATATATAGGAGACCCATGTCAAAGTTTTCTTGGAGACGAAAATTTTGAATTCAACTCTCGTTTTATTATAAATTCTATGTAATTTCTATACTATATAGGTTTAGGACCAAAATTAATTAATTAATTACTTTATGAAGAGTTGGAAATATCATGGAGATCATATTGGCAAACAGCACGCGTAAAACGGTGCCGTTTTAAGACAAGAATATGATCGACATGTAAATATTGGTTTAATTTTGTAATATGCATATGTTTTTAAAAATAAAATAACTTCATTTTTTTTTGTTGTGCTTAAAATATGTGCTGTGAGAATGCTTATATTCCGTACTTGGTGAGAGGAATATAAGAATATATACATATATATATATGTGTGTGTAATGTACCTATATGAGTTAAGAACACAAGAAACATCATCACGTGGAGCAAAGAAAAAGGAAGGATCGCCATTTCTTGTACAGGTAACATGGAGTTAAAGATGTTCCATTATTATAAACAAAAGAAAGCTTTATAAAAATACATGAAGATAAATATGCTCTTGACAAAATTTCTGACTATATACTTAGAGATGCACAAACTCTATAAACAGTCAGTCGCATCTATTTACACAAGAACTGTTTTCATTTCTTGATGACTCGGGAACTTTTAACTCGTCATGATTAACTATCTTGTTAGTCTGAATGCTATTGTTTGGTTCGCCGCCATCTTCAGCTACTGTAATCACAACGTGGGGATCAGGGTGAGTCGTAGGAGATTTCGCTGCAGGTTTTTGGGATTTTTCTGGTGAGACTGTCGGTTCGAGATTTTGAAAATTAGCCGAAATGGAGAGTTGATGAACGGAGTCGGAGATTTTGTCAACCCAGTTGACGATATCGATGAGTATCGAAGCAACTGTGGCTATTTGAATCAGTTCTTGGAGTTGATCAACTTTCGTGTCTTGCCAAATTAGATCTGAATTGAGAAGAGAGTTCATGTTTTTGGCAGCAGATTTTGATTTTTCGATGTGGGAATCTGCAGAAGAAGGTTTTGTCATTGTTTTGACTGATGATGCCAATTCTTTTAGTGCTTTGCCTGATTCCCTGCTCATTGTTTTAATTGCCTCTTGGACTTTGCTTCTACTGTCTGCGGACACCTGCATATATACAACAATATCTACATAAATTATATATTATATCACCATTTCTACCATTACTTTAGTTGTGTTACTTTTTGCGGGTGATTCAATTTTATAAAAAATACTATAAGATACATTTAAATAACACAAACATTGACAGACTCTGCAAACATATAGATGAGAAAATTCAAATAGCACGCACTTGAATATGGGTGTTGAGATTTCCATTTAGAGCCTCGATTCTGTAGGCACATTGTCGTGTTAGAGCTCCGATTTGTAGGTATTGTTTCCATGGATGTCGAAACTTGAACCGCCCGTGACCCGGTTCCCATCTTGCAAAATTAGCCTGCATTCGAATCGATTAAGTACTTTTAATAGCATAAATTCCTATGATTACATAGTAATTTTGGGAGTGAATTAGGGAAGAAGAGTGTTCTGCTCACTAAGGATTCTTCGGTAGCTTTCGAGTTGAGAACCTTTTCGTATCCTCGAAAAGAAGTCTTTTCATCTTCTTTGGTACTCTCAGATGATGTTTTACAGTATTCATCTACAAATCCTATGAATGTACCCTATTTTTGTTAGTGATATAAATATATCTAAAGAATTATACATATATATAGTTATATATATTTAATGCAATATGAGTTATAAACTATCTTTTCGATCAATTATTTATATTCTAATAAAACTTTGTTCTAATTTGTTTAGTGTTGTACCTTCTAAGAAGTCACCAACTTTATCCAAGTTGGTGGCGAGCAAATTATGGAGGTCTTGACCAGCCCACACGGGGCAAATGAAAATAGATATGATCACACACGTAGCTCCTCCGATGATGACGGTGGAGAGCCTCTTGTGAGCTAGTTCTAGTATTTCATCTTGTCGAAAACCCGAAACCGATACGAATGAGAATGTCAAGATGAATATCAGCAATCCGTAATCGTATCTCGCTTTGATGTTGGGAAAGAATCTTATAAATGTTGACACCGCAGCTGCACTCAAAATTATCACTATTAATTTCTTGTCTAGTAAAAATATGCACATCTAATATCTTGTAACACATACATACTCAAAGAATGCACGTGTGTAGAAGTACCAACAAAGCATATTTGGTTGATGTGTACGTGTCTGAAAGCATCTATATCTATCTATCTATCTATCTATCTATATATATATATATGTGTATATATGAATATATATGTGTATATATTCTCACCTTGTAGGAACACAAATAAGCCAATTAGTATAGGTTCACCTATCTGTCCGGATAGGCTGGCTAGATGATGAGCTCCAACTCCCAAAGAAGCTGCTAGCAAGGTTGCTACTCCTCTATTCAACCCTTTTCCCAGGGTTGCTCCTAAAACCCATGTCAAAAGCAGATTCATTAACATACAATATACATATATATATATAGATTGACAAGATAATAATTAATACATACGCAATAAGTCAAAGCAATTGTCAACTGGCTTAATTGAAAAGCTTTTTCGTTTAGCAAGGAAAAGATAGCTTTATAACACAATCAAGAGATCAAATTCTGCTGCTCAAATATATATCCCTGTAATGCACTGTCAATAAACTTTTTAACTTAACAAAATATTATATAAATAAAAATATTGTCATATCAAAATTTTTGTACACTTAAAAAAAATCACAGAAAGTTTTATTAAAAGTAAAAGAAGAAATTGTACACGAACACGAAAAATTCAGAGTCGAATTTGTTATTAGATAATGCAAACAGAGTAAAAAAAAGGAAGAGAGAATTTACCAACGGAGAATTCGAAGACGACGACGACAGTCATGACAGCCCACATTGCAGATACACCGAAGTTATGATAAATAGGTTGATAATAGTAAATCAATGAGACCAAGGTTAGAGCAAGTCCAACTTTGAGGGAGTGAAGTACTCTTCTTGGATCATCTTCACCAAGCTTCTTCACATTACTACAAAACTCAACCACCTTGGACTTCAACTTGTCAGTCAAGGTCCTCACCCGCAATCTCCCATGACCCAGAACTCCACCTTGTTTTTCTTGGTTTGCAGACTCCATTTCCATTAGATATGTGTCAAGACAGTCTCTGCATGAACTGATGGAGAAGAGAAGAGAAGAAAAGAGAAAAAGAGAGAGAGAGAAATGAATGGTTTGGGAGGATTAGATTACTACAGCATGTTATTTATAGGACGAGATCAAAGCATGTTGTGTTTAAAATTAACGTACGGTGCAAGTACAAAGAAATTTCACTTTCACATGATGTGTAAAAAACAAATATATATATATATATATATATAAAGAGAAAAGAAAGGTTGAAGGAGATTGATTATTAGGTGATATTGGAAACTGCTGTCTGGCTTTTTGTTGTGACCCATTAACAAACACGTAGCCGACAATAATCTCTTTACTGGTAAAACTCTAGTCATCCCTTCGTTTAATATATATATATATATACACATATATATATTAAATTTGTGATATTATATTTTGAATTTTCTTCATAAACAATCACTTTTTTCTAATCTGGGTATTATTACTTTTTATTTTAACAGCCAGAATATTCTTCTTGAAAAAAAAAAAAAAAAAAATTTCAGAGCACGATTTGGAGGCCATCTAATTTGGCATTACTTTATGCTGTGTGTGTATGTGGGTCTTTTCCTGGCTGTAGGTTAGCCTTTAATTTCTCTGTGATAATCAAGTTTATGTACAGCAAGTGGAAAGAAAATTATAAGCCATTAGTTTACGGCTACTGTACAATTCAATCTTTTTATAGGTACATGTATTCAACTGCTTTTTTATTATGATTGTATAAATATATATACATATATATATATATATAGATAGATAGATAGATAGATATAGACATTGGACTTACCTATTTTTACATATGTGCTTAACTTTTCTTCTTAACGAGGATACTGTGAGTTTTTACAAATGTACTTATCACCAAATTAATTTCCCATGCAAGTGTGCCTTAGGTTATAGATCCATAAGCTATATATATATAAAACTGTGCCTTAGGTTATATATATGTAGTTCATATATAATTGATGAAATTGTTAAGTTAAAATACTTTCATTAATCTGATTAGAACAGTGGATATTGGGTAAAGCAAAATAAATTATACTCCATTAATTTTAAAAAAAAAAAAGTTAGAATAAATTATTCATATCTTTTAAATTATTTAAAATGATCGTGTAAGTAACTAATCAATATAATACATAAAAAAAAAATATTACTTTCTTATTTAATATTGATAATCAGTCATTTGGGTGGCGAGACTAGCAGTGTCGTAATGATGTTTGAAATGGAATAACTGCAATGACGACGACAGTAGCGATGTGATAATAAACACAAAAGTAATAATGACAACAATGGGGAGTCACGATGACAGTGGTAGCAATCCTAACGATAGAAACAATAGTGTTGGGTGAGGTAGATAACGATGATGATAAAAATAGTAGTTGTTTGTGACAATAGTAGATAGGGTTATAACGTGTGTAATTATAATAAGATCAAGCGATGAAAGTGGTTTGATGTGGCACAGATAGTAGTAATGACAGTAATAATAATAATCATGGTATATAAAAGATGAATAGTTGAGATTTTATATGAGAAGACGTACGTACCTTCAGTATCAACAATCAAGACAATGACGAAACCATATATAAGCAAGAAACATATATCTTGATGACGGAGCAGGCTAGACTAAAACAAGATCGACAATGAAGGAGAATATACTGACAGAGAATGAAAGAACATTAGAATACGATTGAATAAATATTGAAATTTTGGTGTCAACGAAGAAAATTCAATTTGTTTGAAGAGTTCGACCTTACCGTTTTCTTTTAACTATTTTTCATATTATGAGATATTAGAATCAAAAAATATTATTATCCTCAAGAGTCGTCTCTAATTCCAATATAATTTTTTTCTTTTTTCTAACATGGAATGTCACGTGGCGTATTTTCACGTGCTTCAACAATGATACGTGAAAAATCCGTAAATATTTTTTACAATAAACTAAAAGATTGACGTATCTTTAAAAAAAAAGATATTATAATGACTAGTAATTATTCAAATTAAATTTATTCAACAAGTAATTTAATTAAACTTTAAATTTTTACTTTTTAAGATGAAATTATTTTTTATAACTATTCTTATAATATAATTGATATAAAAATATCTCTAGAAGGGTGATAAATGTTTGGCATATGCTATAGCTATACATGTGTGTGTATGTATATGTGTATATATACATATATACATATATATATATATATTGTTTCAGTAGTTTGAAGGCTCCCTATCTCCATTGTAGATATATTAATGGGTATTCTTCCCTTCTCCAACAAGTTGGGTAAAATATTAAAATCGATAAATATATATCTCCTTCCATGGATGGTCCATCTATATAAACACCAATGTTTAGGAAGGGAGAAAAAGACTAAGTTGACAAATGAAATTCTAATATTCTTAGTTTAATTAATTCTAATATCTTAAACATTATAAGAAATTTCTAAATAATATTTTAAAAATAATTTTAAAGATTATAGTATAAAATTCACCAAATTCTAAAGTATGACAATTGAAAAATATTAGAATATGTAAATGTAAAATCAATTATATGAAAATATTATTTTATTATATTAATTAAAAATTGTATACTTATATTAAAGTTACTAAATGAATTTATATTATGATAATGTATGAAACAAATCCCATTTGACTTCCTATCCCAAAAAAACTATAAAATATATATAAACACACACCCAAAAAAAAATGTTTGCATTATTCACTTTTATATGT